AAACATTTCCTCACCCAAATCGATAAAGGTTCATAGAACAGTGTGCTATTGTAACTTCACTTCTACCTCACCACTCTCCATGATTTTTCTCTATTTCTTTTCCTCCTTATCTTCGCATTGGTGTGCGCTAGAATATGGCTTAAGGTAACCTATAATAATTAAGTGTTGCATTCACATTAATTCATATTGTTTATTTTGCTTTTATTTAACATAAAAATGAGATATGAAATACTTAATCTATAAATTTCATTTTTTCGACTCTTGACTCAAGTGCAAATTCTCCAAAAATTACTTTAGTAAGTGAAGAGCAGATATCACTTTCCCAAGTAAAATTGCTCTGCTAGTTTTTGGTAGCTCGTAGGTTTCAATAAAAAAGTATTTTATTAGTTACGAAAATCAAGATAAGATAAAGTTGACTGCTTTATAAGCCTGAAGGCTAGCAATTTTTGATAAAATGGAAGGATTTGTATCTTTTGCTTCAACAAAATTCGAAAGCCTTCATACTGCCGATACAATAACATTGAACGTAAAATGGGTTCAGAAGTCTTGAAAATGCCTTCTTGTCGTGCTATATTATGCACATGTAGTGAGAGCAGGGAAAAAATCGCACCACCTGGCCGCCTCCCGGAATTCTGATTTCTAGGTGTTGGAATGAAACAAGTGTAGAATATTATAGACCTTAACTAGTCTATAATATCCTACAGCCTTGTTTCATTCCAAATCTCCTAGAAATACTGTGTGTAGAGCTGCTCAATCGAGAAAAATTGTCGAAAATTCTTGAAAAAAGCCCAAAAGTGTAGTTCATAGCACTAAGCATCATGTTAAAAGTTATAGAAATCCTGTGAAACCTAGCACAATCAGTTTGAAATTTTGCACAAATGCTAACTGATTTGTAATGACAGAAAAAAATGAGAAATTGAGAAGCTATTTTATCAAAGACTTAAAAGAAGATTTGAGTTGAAGGCAAATCTTGGCAAAAGCTTGTAAATTTCTGAAGTTTTCTGCTCCTTTCCAGAGTTCCTTTTTTTGCCATAAGAAGGGCATCCTCCTCGTAATTTGCATATGCAAAAAGAGCCGTAGAGTAAGAAATTATACTTCTTCACAAAATTTTTTGCGAACGTTATGACAGCTAAAAGCGATACTACACATCCGGCTGTTGACCATCGGACGTTGCCATTATTGGTGCAAGGTAATTGAATGAGTCGTCAACTTTTACCATTCCCCAATGAACGAGTCTCTGCTACAGTGGTCTGGATAGAGCAAAGGGCTACTCAGCGGAC